TTACCACTCAATTCTTTCAACAATTGCTTTTAGGAACAATCAATGAACTCAATCAATCAATCAATTCGTGTAGAATTCCCCAAACCGGATGTGACTCAATAATTGTAACAAAGGACTCAAAGAAAACTTTTAAAACTTGATTTAAATCGAAGGAATGGAATGATTCAATGTGTCCAAGTAATTTAGAAACGATAATGAATAATAATAGTTGATATTTGACGGATCAATAATTATTTAAAAAGTTTTTTTAACTGTACAGATGAACAGTACCGTATGGATGAACAATATTTTTTTTTAAGATCCGAAAATCAACAACAAAACCAACAAAGAAAACGAAAACTGATTTGGGCGAAAATTGAGCCCAAAAACGGAATTTGAAAATTTTTGATGAAACCTTTGGATCAAGGATCAAGAAAAACCTTCTGGACATAAGAACACAAGAAATTGAAAAAAATTAGAAAACAAAGGATATAACTTGATTAAATTGGAGTCAAAGCTCTGATACCAACTGATGCGAACCCCGCAGCAATGGAAACTACGAAACCCACAACGAGATTGATGCGGAACCCAAGAACGCCAATACTAACCCGGTTTTAGATCTTGAACCCTAAGAATTGAACCAAGAAACCCTAGATTAGCGAAGAACCTAAAACCCCTTGCTTACAATTGAAAGAACCCACAATCTGATTGATAGAACGCCACAAGAAGTCGAATCTTGATAAGTTTCAAGATTGTTCAAGAAGAACAATTAAATTGAAAGAATAATTCTCTCTCTATAATATTAAGCAATAGTCAAAGTTCAAAGGTTTTTTTTTACAATGAAAAGATATTCTCCTATTTATACTATTCCTCGAATAGGAGTTAAAAAGGAAATATAATTCTAATAATCTAACAAAATTCCTAGAATATTCGTCCAATATTGTAGGAATTTGATTAAGAATGAAATTCTAGTAAAATAAGGAAAAATGCAGAAGAAGGAAAAATCGCGCCCAGAAATGAACCATGCGGTCGCATGGTTATAAACGTGCGGCCGCATGGTAATAAGAATTTTAGCCATTTGATTCTCGGTATCATGCTGTGCGGCCGCATGGTTGCACTGCACACTCTCACCTTCGGCTGCTTGTAACACATTGATCCATTTTGTTTCGGCCTTTGACCCGAACACGAAACTTGTCCCATTTTGAGTCCCGAACATGGTTCCATCAATAGTTTCTTGAACGAGTAATCACATCGTTTGTTTCACTTGCTTTGCCCTTGATCACGTCATTGGTCCGCCATCGACTATCAACGGGTCTTGTCTCGCACTTGCCTTCGTCGGGCTCGACTCCTGGATCATATCACTTTTTCTTTCCCAGCAATAAATATTTGTAGAAAAAAAATTTTGTAAGAAAATGACACTTTAGAAAAAGAAAGTCTTGTAAGAAAAAGACAAGTAAGAATAGAACAGTTTTTAGAAAAACTACCAATTTAAACATGTTTTGAAAGTTTTTGCAATAAATTTTCTGCAAGAAAAAGTCTTTTACATAGATACAACTAAAATTTTATATGAAAAATGACAATTAAGAAAAATTTCTTCTAGGAAAAGGACAACTAAAATATTTTCTACGTAGATACCAATTTTGTAGACAAACTCTTTCTAGTAAGAATTCAAAATCTTTGTAATAAAAAGTCTTTGTGCAAAGTATTCGTAATAAATTCTTTTCAAGGAAAAGTCTACCAAATATTAACGATTCAAGAAAGTGTTTCAAATATTAAAGATCTTTCAAAAATTTAAACACGTTTCGAATATCAAATATACCAACTTCAAGAAAAAGTCTACTAGCAATTAATTTCGAAGACATAAACACATGTATGTGTACACACACACACACATATAGTGTTTGAAACTAATATGATTGTAAAATAACCTAGGGTTTTCAGAAATAACTGCTGCTCTAGCATTGACCTCGCACCTAACGAGCAGTAATTCCGTTGCTTGAGAGCCAAGGTCGCGCTTAGCAAGTGCCAGTGCCCCTACTTTGACTGTTCGAGCACTAATCTGGCATGTAAGGAGCGGTAATACCTTGATTTTTCTTTTTGGTCAATATTTGACTACTCCTTCACCTATGCTATTAATCCACAACTATTTTGACTTTAATTACAACTTAATAACCCACGATTTTGAATACAGAAATAACCAACTACAATTAAGACCTAAAAATGAATCTCCCTCAACCTTCTTCCTCTCAACCCCTGTTATCTCGCAAAGAATCCTACCTAAAAGTTGTCACTGGCTGCCTCTTATTTTGCTGCATTGCCACCCTCGATCCCCTCACAACCTATGACTTTAACCTTGGAATGTCTGTTAAAGAACCCTAGAGAAAGTGCAAAAAATTGTTATTTCTCACATGTTTTTCATTTTTTTAATGGAATTTGGTTCGAGGAGGAAGCCTTGTACCAGCAGTAGAAGCAATATAGACGGTAGGAATGTGATGGAATCAATCAATGTACACAGAGATTTGTGATTTCTTTAGCCTAAGACTTGTTACTGGTATAGTTTAAGTCAGTGTAGTATATTTTGTGCATTTTAAGGTTTTTTCGGGATATGAGAAGAAGTACCAATTTCAAATTTTCCTTATTTCTCGTGTCTCCTAGACATATCTTTTTTTCTACTAAGATGCACGCTATCAATTGATGTGATTATGGTGTGAAATATTATTTTTGATGCTTAGGGGCGGAGTCAGAAATTTTGTCCAGTGCGGACAAAATTTAATAAAGGTCGAACTTTTCGATCATGGATTTAATGATATTACGACAATACTAAAAATGACATAGCGATAACACTCATAAGATGATCATCTTCTTCATTATTTTAGGATCAGTAACAAGTTGTGCAATATCAAAATTCATTTATTCGATATCTCCTAATCAAAGAATCTCTCCATTGGCACTTCATAGTAAAATAAATCACAAGTGATAATTAAATACTAATTGATATAAAAATAACTACTAATTTTTATAATTTGGTAGAACACTAGAAAATCCTCACAAATTATTTAACTAATTGATAGAAATTAAAATTTCAAGAATTCATCACAAATATTACCAATATTTAACATTCTCATAAACAAAATCCCTAATACTAAACAGAAAAATCACATGATCAATAAAATTTTTGCTGCAAATTTAAGGGTATAAGGAAATGTGGGTTTTAGGAAAGAAATGAACTTTGAAAATATTTCAAAACGAGAGCAGATTAAAAGAAAATTTTTAATTTTTTATCAAGGGGAAAGAGTCACACTTGGAGTTGGGGTAAATTAGTGTATGGGCTAAACTATAAATAAATGAGGAACCCAATACTTAGAAAAAAGAAAAAAAAAAAAAAACAGGGAAAAAGAGCTAAAATTTTGATTGTGGGCTTGGGCCAAAAAGCACTGGACCGTGAATGGCTCCGTCCCTATTGATGCTCAACATGAACTTGAAATTGAATAAATGAGTAGACACTCTCTTTGAGTTAATTTTATATGTTAATGAAATATAAAATCGGTTGTAACTTGTAAGCATTAACGAAATATAAAATTTTATGGATAAGTCGGTATCTTTTTCATCATCCTCTCGTCTTCCTTGTGTTTGATCTTGTTTTAGTGCTGGGACGTGTAAGTAGAAGAATATATTAGTAAAGAGACAAATCAAGTTGTTGACCTTGCATTTTTGTTACATTGTAGAATCTCAAATTGGACATAATATATGCTAATTAATTATCAAAAAATTGAGGACTATCACAGGGTAAAAATGTGTGCTCGTCTAATAAAAAAAAAAAAAAAAAAAAAAAACAGGGAAAAAGAGCTAAAATTTTGATTGTGGGCTTGGGCCAAAAAGCACTGGACCGTGAATGGCTCCGTCCCTATTGATGCTCAACATGAACTTGAAATTGAATAAATGAGTAGACACTCTCTTTGAGTTAATTTTATATGTTAATGAAATATAAAATCGGTTGTAACTTGTAAGCATTAACGAAATATAAAATTTTATGGATAAGTCGGTATCTTTTTCATCATCCTCTCGTCTTCCTTGTGTTTGATCTTGTTTTAGTGCTGGGACGTGTAAGTAGAAGAATATATTAGTAAAGAGACAAATCAAGTTGTTGACCTTGCATTTTTGTTACATTGTAGAATCTCAAATTGGACATAATATATGCTAATTAATTATCAAAAAATTGAGGACTATCACAGGGTAAAAATGTGTGCTCGTCTAATAAAAAAAATAGATAAATTACTTTTCCAACGACAATAAAATTACAAAATATAGCCCCGACATGTAGATTCTTAGAGTCTCTTGGTTCGAGCCGTCTCATGACACAGTTGAGTAATCTGGATATATCCGAACGGGTTCAAATACTATATCCACTTATAAATGAAACTGTTTATAAATCGCTCTTGATTAATCCTCGTTATTTATAAAATATTTTTCTTTTTCTTATTTCCAATCACACATTCTTTAATAAACTAATATTATATGTAAATCCAAAATTTTTCCTTATTTTCTGATCATACATTCTCCATTAATTTATTATTTCTAAATGCATTCTCAAAAGAAAATTGATCTCAAACAACGTAACAAAAGCAGGATTTAGGGGGAAAATTTTTTGCCCTGATTTGGTTCAAACAAAAAATGGATTAAAATTAATATTATTATTGATAATTAATTTTAATTACATATTTTATAACACTCATAATTTTTTAATTATACATTCTGTTAAGGCCCCGTTTGTTTCTCATTAATATAAGAATAAGAATGAAAAATGTAGTTGTTACAGACTCCACACAAAATATAAAAATTCAAATATGGTGGTTAGATGTGATGAATTACGGTCATATTTTTTATTTTGGTAGTCAAATAATGAGAAACAGACGGGCTTAATTTTATAAAATTTTACTAAAAATCTAATTTTTATTTAAATTAGGGGCTGTGTTTTTTGGGCAAAAAAAAAAAAAAACATCCTTAAACGTGAATAATATGTAAAGTCTCCCCTCTCTCTCCCCCAATTCCCCTAAACCCCCGTCATTCAGTATGTTGCCCTCCCGCTACTTCCTCCGCAAACCACCGTCAAATCACCTCCTCCTCCGCCACGTGTCCACCACTCCCACACCCTCCCGTTCCTCATCTTCCACGACCCATGTCAAAAAACATTCCGGCGATCACGAGTTCCTTCATCCCAGCACCTTCATTAACACGTGGAAGCCTCCACGCGATCCAAAGCAGGCCGAAGCTCAGCTCGCACTTCTACGACGAGAATACGCCCGTAAAGTCAAGGAAATCCGGAAGGAGTACATCAAGGAAATGGAATTGCAGAGGCTCGAGAAATTGCGAAAAGATGAGGCAAAAAAAGAGGCACTGAGAATCGCAAATGAGGAGAGAAAAGCCGCGAAGGCTGCGAAGAAGAAGGCCGAGGCTATTGAGAGAGAGGCCGCGGAAGAAGAGTTCCGGCGGACCCTGGTAAGCCAAATTACTAATATGCCTTCCCTCTATGATCTTTATTTCATTTTAAGGATGATATGCTTACATTTACAATTTTTGGGGCTGGATTTTGTTATAGTTGCCGATATGTTTTTAATAGAAAATCATTGTTCTTGATTTACGATTACTATTCAAATTGAACTTGTAATATTTTTCTATAAGAGTAAAAACCATATGCACGTTTGCTTTGATTCAATCTATGATTCATGACTAGAAATGCTGCTGGTATACTTTTTGATAAACATAATTTGTCTCTATATTTGTCATACTTGTGTCTATAGCGTTGTAAACGAATATTATAATGTCCGGTGCTCAAGTTCATTAGCAAATTTTGCTGCCTAAAAAATTCAATTCCTATATTTTGTGTGCTTTTGTCGACAGACTTGGCAAATTGGAATAGTTTACCCTTATGCTCTTGGATTTGTTTTCTTGTATAAGAAAGGATTTGATTGAGATTGCCATCTCCACGAATATCTCAAAAAAGTACTTGGCACAAGAGTTATAGCAACTTCTTTTTAACATATTTTTCCTTATTCAGTAAGAAATAGGATGGATTACCTCACGCTGAGTTTGGCATGTAAACTAGACTTTGTTTGGACCAAAAAATTATGACTAGTCTATTCTTCCAGGAAAAGTTAAGCAACACATTATTAAACTCTATGTTTTTAAAATCGACTAGACATCAGCCGTTAAATGGAGAGGTTAAGGTTCAAAAGGTCGAACCAGTATCAAACTCGAAGTAAAATATAATTAATTAAATAAATAATTTGATAGACATTTTTAATTTTGAAGAACTAAAGACTGTCTAGTGTCTAATTCATAATAAAACATTATAAGCCCATATTTGGTGGGGGTTAAAATAAGATTTTTAGTAAAATTTTGCAAAGAGTTGATGAAATGAGTTGTTGAAAAGTTGTGGGTCTCATGAAATATGTAGTTGAAGTTAAATATTGACTTTGACTTAGATATAAATTAAATATTGACTTTGACTTAGATATAAATTTAGATTTTAATCCCTATCAAACAAGGGCTAAATCTATTCACTTTCAAGCAACTTATATTTTCTTTGAATCCAACTATGACTGTAATCCATACAAAGTGTTCACTTTGCATCTCAAGGCCTTAATTCAATGAGAAGCTGCTGTTCAAAAATCTGAACCATCGTGCTCTCTCTCTCTCTCTATGTATATGCACACACATGTATATAAACTTCTATATCTCTCATTCCAAGTTTCCATCTTCACCAAAATATTTATTTTATCTTCTAATCATTACAAGCTGGGAAAACCAGAAAAACCATACCTTTTTGATTGTGCAGTCGGCCAGTTTTCCCACTGGTATTGGACTACTACGGGCTTAACCAACAACCGGATCAGTTTCCTGAACATTCCTGGCTATGATGCACCGACACGGACACGTGTGTCTGACACGATACGTGTCGGATACGTCGACTCGTAATTTTTCAATAAAGTACCGACATGACATCTTCGACACGTTCATTAGATTCTTTAAAATTCTTCATTTATATAGTTTAAATTTGGTTTTATACTTATTATTGATTTTTTTGTTGAAATCTTTTAAATATGAGTACTTATTTGTTATTTACCAATAACTTTGAGTTAAAAATGTATAATAGTTATAGTAAAAAAGGAAAATGATTATTGTAGAGTGTCCGAAGAGTGTCAGTATCGACACGTATCTGACATAACACACTACCTAGTTAGAGTATCCGTGCTACATAGATTCTTGATTTTCCCGGTCGAACCGGCCAGTTGAGTCCAATTCTGAAAACATAAATAAACTACATGTGCAATATTGTGCATTCATGACTGTTGAATCCTGTATTTTCTTCCCTACACTTAATTTTTATTTGTGTTTCCAGCCAGAGATGGGATGAGGAGTATGTTTTTTATTTATTTTCTTTCAGAATATGAATGTGTGGTACATTTTTTGTTTGTCCTCTGTTTACATTTCAAGAAAATGAAAAAATAACCATCCCGACAATATTTTCAATTACAAAATCTAAGCTTGTTTGAGAATATATAAAGAGTTTAAATTATAAATAAATAGACATGATGGGTGGATTAGTAGATAGTACTTGTGGGTTCCTGGAAACATGTGGATAAAAAGTGGCTTAAATGTGTATAAACAAGGTTTTATTGCGACCACAATTTGTTTTTGTTCCACCACATTTTAAATTCATGACAGTTAAATTACATTTTTAATAAATACACTACTTCAATTTGACTCATATAACCTAATACAATTAGAAATTATATACTTGTCTCCCTTTAAATATGCCCTTGTTTGAGTCTCCTTTTTAGGGAAGAATGAATTTTTGATTAGTGTATTGATGAGAAATGTATGATTAAAAAATAAGGAAAATTTTTGGATTTGCGTATAATATTATTTTATTGAAAAATGTGTGGTTGAAATGATGTCAAAATATTGTTGAAAAATGCATTTTTCCCAAAGAATGGGGCTCAAACAAGGGCTATATTCCAAGCTTTATTAACCTATAAATTCATAGTTAGAGAGAGAGAGAAGAAGAAGAAGAAGAAGAAGAAGAAGAACATTGACCTCGTATGGATACAGCTAGCATCTATATGCTAAAGTTGCCCTCTTTCTCTTCATATGCTCTCTCTCACATCTTCACATCTATATATCTATATCACTACCAAGAAATTAAACCCATCTTGCAAACTGTTTTCAAAATTTTCAAAAATCTTGTTTTCCTTTTAATTTTAATGGGTTCATTGGTTGCATTCTTGATTTCGCATGAAAATTATCCAGAACCCCCTGTTTGATATCCACACCAGTCATCAATTTTTTTGTCATCATATGGGGAAAAATGAAAGTTTGATTCCTGGATAAAAGTTTTATATTGTAGACTTCAAAATCTGCGTTTGGTGGGATTTCTGAGCCCTTATATCTTGTATTGACGTTTTTTGTTCGTTTCTAATCAGATTGAGAACATGACCTACTTTGCTTAAATTTAAAAATTAATGAGAGTACCGAATCAATTAATTGCCCATAAAAAATAGTCAAAAGTGTCATCTTGGGATCAAGCGAATGTTCTGTGCATGCAGTACAACTGAATAAAATTGCACTTTGATAGAATTAGTTGTTTGAAGCCATTGCGGTGACTGTAGGAGGCACCAGTTTTGCAAGTCTGAGCGTGCCACCAAGCTCCATGGGAACAAGGGGGATGAGAGAATGCAAATCATCTGTTATCAATGGTCCATAGCTCGGTTCTGGTTGAATGCATAATACAACAACAGCAGCAACCGTAACTTATGTTCTTGGAGAGCATGATGTTTCTTTATAAGGATTTGTTAAAAGAGAGATTCATTTCAAGAATTAACGCTGCTGGAGAGGAAATAGTGGACAAGGTTGTTAATTTAATGATTGTGGTGTCTATGAAAATTATTTAATGTTAAAAAGTAACTTTAAAAGTATGGTTAATTAAGGGGCTGTCTGGTAGAGATTATCCCAAAATTTTCATTATAATTCCGAACGTTATACAGGAAAAGGGGTCCCACTGTAGTAGCATTTTTTGGCTGCCTTCGTACCATTCAATTAAAATATTTGGCGAAAAGACGAGAGTTCCCCTCAATAAATGCATTAAATATTATTAAATGAGTGCATTTTTGGCAATTGAAATAATGAGATGATAGTTGCCAGTACTTGTTGTCAATTATTGCGGTTGAAGTCTGTGCAGCAGACCTTTACAACAGTAGGATTTTCGATAATAATTTTGAGAGAATTTCTACTAGACAGCTCCTAAGTAACTTTACTTAGAGTCATTTAAGTAAATAAAAAAATTGTGGTGTAACAATTAAATTTTGTGGTGGTAATATAATAACCCTTTATAAACATGAGCCAAACATATGCTAAAATCATATGGCAGCTATTCGCCTGGTTGGTGGCACCTGCAAATTTTTATGACTTACTTTTTAATGATTTATTTTATTTTATTTTATTTTATTTATTTTTATTTAAATCAAGTTCATTTTGTTGCAATCTAATTGATTTAAATACATGTACTTGAAGCAGATAATCTGCAATCTGGTTGAGTTTTTATATGTCGTGTGGTAGTTGGATCTCTATCCCACTTCAGGGTCCGAATAATATAAAATTAGTTACTTGAATTTTGAGACATCTGTACTTGCATCTGAATTATTTCTCTTTCCTTAGGTCTGTATTTATCCTTTCTATTTATCATTCTGTCTTTTTAGGGGGTTTAGGATTCAAAATGATCAAGAAGTTTCTTATAAACATGATATATAGTAATCCACCTTACATGGAAGAATAAAAGCTTCTACCTTTGATGGTTTGTTCTCTTTAACAATTTGCCCTAGCACCTTGCTTTGTGGCTAATATGTTGTAATTCTCACAACGCAGATGACAGAAAGAGCAGAGAAGCTTGAATATTGGAGGATTAGACAAATGAAAATTGAGGAGAAGAAGAAAGAAAAAAAGGAGCTTCTGCATAGACAAAGTTCTCTGTGGGTCGATGAATCGGAATTGGAGAAGAAGACCCTGGAGGCCATTGTTGATACTATTCCCCTCTGAATACGTTCTCTTTCAAAGCTGATTGCATGAATTAGTATTGTCGATCCTAGGATACTTAGTCTTGGACTGCCATGTTTTGAAATTTCCCAAAATTCAAGTTATTCGACTGTTGTCACAGTTGTAACCTGATTAATGTCTGATAGATTCCTTTCCTTTTTGGGTTATTATCAAAAGAAGTCTGGAGGTGAATGATGGTTCCTTAAATAAATTGCATACTGATTATCATAGTCAAGTCATTGTTTTCGAGAGGTATAATAATCTCTTTCAAATATCGAATTGAAACTTGAACCTTTGTATATATATAAAGTTCCCGGAAATTGTTTTTTTTTTCCCAGGAGGAAACTGAAAAAAAAGGGGATAATATTTGGTGATGGTTTGACTGAAATATTAATGTGCATTTTCCTGTTAGCCTTTGAGAACAGCATTAAAGAACTGGGATAATGCTTGGGTTACATTACACCATCCATAATGCCATCCATGATGCGGAGGTGTCATTTTTTTTTGACTGGCAAACAAAAGGAAGGAATCCATTTCTCGTCTAAGTTTTTTAAAAAAAGAAGAAAAAAGGCCATTGCTTCAAAAACCCAAGATTGCAATGAAACCCTATCACTTTCATTCCCACTCTACTCCGCTCTCAACCTCGACAGTGGCAGCTCAATCCCACCCGACCCACAAAACCCATCCTCCACTTGTAGATCCAGATCTGAGGTTCCCCTATCTCCCATAAATCTCCTCTGGCGGACGATGACTGAGAGTACACAAATCGAGTCGATATCTTCAACGCGACGACGGTATCATTAAATCTCCTTTGTAGATGGGTTTCATTTCTTTTTGGGTGGATGACTACGAAGTTTTTTTGGGTAGTGTGTGAAGTTTTGTTTTATTTTATTTTTTAATTTGGGTTATAGTTTCACGAGTTCTACAGTGTGTGAAGTTTTACATTAAGTAACGCTTGGATTTTGAGTTTATGCATTTTTCTATTTGGGTTTCAGAATGATTCAAAACGGAATACACAAGCTATATGTTTTTTCTGGGTTTCTATTTTGAGTTTATGCATATTTGAGTTTATGTGTTTTTGGCAGCTTGAATTTTTTTTCTTTCTTTCCTTCTATAATGGTTGGTATATACACTGAGACGTATCTATACAAATTACAAAGTAAAAATTGAGCTAAACATGTAGAAACTAAGAATGCAGTGCAATGTGCCATATCCTACTTAACCATTGCTTTTCGACTGCTGTGACAACTCTCAAAACTTTAAACTGAAAAGCATGCTAGAAAATGTAGCTAAACAAGGGAGGAAAATTATAAATCTGGATTCGCATATAGGATTAGGTTTTTTGGCATTAATCCGGATTCCAAGTAGGAAGATGATGCTGGGGACAAATGAACATTCTTATGTAAGGATTTAGGTTTTAGGTTTAGGTAACGTCTCTAAACTCTTTGAAAAAAAACTTGATAATGTTGTTTTCAGTTATACATAAGTTTGGTGTTAGTTTTTGAACTTAGATTATGTCTCAGATCTCTTTCCTGCCTAATAAATTTATTTTATTTTATTATTTTTTTTGGTAACCATAATTGTCGACTTGCAATGGCTGGAAAGAATGGAGGTATCTGCCATAATTGTCGACAGTCTGGACATCAATTGTATGACTTTCCAAAAAAACAAAAGTGTCCACACTGTTTACAGGGAATTGTAAAAATGATGGAGGTGGAGAAGAAGACGGTAAACATAGGCTGAATATTCTACTAAAGATTGTGGATATTTCGATTGGAGCGACGTGAAGTTTTGGAAGAAGAAACCCTTGTCATTTGAAGGACAGTCTAGTGATTTTTGTGATGGAACGCAATCAAGCAACGTTGAGACGTCTCGAAATCAAGCTACAGCACCAATTGACGACCTGTTGAAAAGTGTTGCCACAATAAAGATTGAAGAAGAGGACGTGGAGATGTCGAGTGCCACTGTCGATGTTGAGAGCGGGCCACTGTTGCGGTTGAGAGCGGGAGAGTGGAGTGGGAATGAAAGTGATAGGGTTTCATTTCAATTTTGGGTTTTTGATGCAATGGCGTTTTTGATTAAAAAAAGAAAAAAACTTAGACGAGAAATTGGATTCTTTTGTTTTGCCAGTCAAAAAATGCCACCTCAACATTATGGATGGTGTAATGTACCCCTGACATTATCCAAAGAACTGGGCGATTCACTGTTATGATTGGCAAATGATAATCCAATTAGTTGTGCTATGTGTACAACTACAGTTGACAATTAGACATATGAGAGGCACCGGCTGATCCAGCACCTGGCGAGCCCTCGCGGTCGCCCGTGCTGGATTCATCGGAATGTAATTTTTTTGGTTGCCAAGTTGTTTTAGATATATTTTTGTGATTTCCTTTGAATCACACAAAGTCGCTATTGCTCGGTTAGAACACCGTTGAAATGTAAGGATGTCACAGGTTCGATTCTCAACTCTTGCAATCCCTTTTGAAATTATTTTAGTTTAAATTTTTTCACCATTTTGGAGCAAATAGGCATTAAAATTGGTGCAAATGGAAGATTTGAACCAATGATTTCCATTGGAATCATGCACAATTTGACCACTAAGGCTGTTGGTGGTTGTTGACAATATAAGCAACAAAATTTATATATTCTTCTATCAAGTAAAGATATACACCCACAATTTTTAGAAAAATAAAATTTTTAAATAAAATTCGACCTTACAGTGATATTATTAAAATATTCACTTTTTTTTTTCTATTAACTGAAATTATTAGCAAATCGAACCAAGAAAGTAAATAATTGGACCATTTTTCGAACTTCAAATTTTTACTCGATAAGCATTATTACACCAGACTAGATAACGTACACTCATAGTTACAATTCGAATTGGGATATAAGCCCCAGTTTGGCCCCCTTTAAAACTTATCAATTTAATTTAAAATTTTCTCTTTTTTATTTTCAACCACACAATCTTCAATAAAATATTATTACACGTAAATAAAAAAATTTTTATTCTTTTACAACAATAAATTTTTCAAAAAAAAAAAACACTGTTCCCCCATTATAAATTCAAATAATGGGGGCCCAAAGGGGGTTAAGTAATTTCAACTCATGGCATTGATTATTATTGCGACTATCGACAGTCAACGGCCGTCCGTGTTCAATTAAAATCCTGGATTCGCCACTGATGGGAGGGGGCTCACGTTGAATAAAAAAATCGTGGATCCTCCTTATGTGAGTACATTGTCAGTCGGGATTGTACAAGAAGAATAATTCTAATCCAATAGGCAATATTTTTTATTGGAATTTGCTGCAATGGTCTGTTCATGTTATGGGACCAAACCATATAGAACCTACTGGCACAAATTGACAGCCAATTACAAGTGCAAATTTTTAGGACAAACTATTGTTGGAATCTCCAACTTGTGCTGAATATACGAGCAGGTCTTCAACTTTTCGGTTTTGTACCAAGTGATCCTATTGGATGGTTTCCATCAATATAGAAATTAAACTCACATTTTCTACTCAAATGACCAAAACGATTCATACTTTTTAACATACTTCCTATGTTAATACTTTATATTACTTAAAGACACTTCACATGCTTCTCGTTCCCCCTTCCGAAAAAGAGTTTTGACTAATTCTGAGTGCTCTTTTCGACAATGCGCTATTACAAATTTTCTTTATGATAATCTTCAAGATTGACGGTGTAGAATGGGCACTCTAGACACTATCAATCTTCATTGTATGTGTCATAGAAGTTGAACACATGCTTATATCGCATCTATATATTGAGTTGGGAAAACGTCTACATTTTTTCAATAACGTTAATGGGAAGTTTCACTTCTTACAAAACTTCGAAAAGAGAACCATTGCTGCTAATTGTAACTTAGGAACTTGTTTTATTTTGCTTGGGTTGGAGTCCTGTTGGAGTCCACAGTTGTAAAAAAAATTATTTTTCGCTTCACAATGGATGGTTCCAGCAAGTTATTACGAATTCCATCCAACTTATTGGAAAAGGGAAGGGGATGGGAAAACATAATTGCTTTTGAGCAAGATGGTCCAACAACGTCAGGGGAAAAAAATACAAGGATCTAACTACTTCATGCATACTCCACTTCTCCCGGAGGTATATAGCCAATTGGACCTTTGCAATTAAAGGAATGATGAACAGTAATATTATGCACATTGGAAACAGCCTCACAATTATTCATAACGATTTAAACAGATCGACACTAAATTTGAGAGGGCAGTGCAACAACATACATCATAAGATACATCACTGTTGCAATAGAATATGTGCCCTTAAATCAAACCAAGAAACAAACTTTCTCATTCATTTCATGATAGCAAAACAAATCCATGTGAATGATGATTAAATCTAATACCAAGAATAAGTAATCTTCAGTTTAAGCATGTTAATATGATACCCCTCGGAAAAAAAAAGAAAAAAAAAAAAGAAACCCCTTACAGTCTAAATTTAACATCTATCGAAACAACCAAAACGATTCCCAGTTATCATTAAGATTGCGTTCTTCAAATGGGGAAAAAATGAATCATGACCACTTGCAAAATGCCCAAGAAACAAAAAACAAACACAAAGCAAGCACCTGTGACGCTCCATTTTGTTGATCACTGAATTCTACTGGGCCTTTGGTTTTTGAATCTTCACGTAGGGAAAAAATCCCAAAAAGTGTTTAATTTTGGGATTCCATTCCCGTTGCTGAGCACGACAGTACATCAGGAATGCATTTGCAAAGTACGAATTGAAACCGATAAAAACATGCCATAGAGCATGACCCTGCGGATTGAAGTACCAGTGTGATATGTTCTTGCAGAAGAAATGGTCAACTAACCAGCAGAGACTCCCAAACAACAGAGTGACGACGTACAACTTTGCAAGCCGCTTAGCTAATTTATCTTCTGTGTGAATGTAATATTTATACATCCGAGGAATGCAGAGAAGACAAAGCAACGCATAGTGCAACTTAAAACCAATATCAAAGTGCAGCTGTGAATGTGCTATGGCAAATACTGCACCATAAAGGAACAAGAAGGTTGGCATTGTACTTCGATAATGCCAATCTGGTGAATAGAGGATGTAGATATAAAGGAGCATTTCCCACACCATAGGTGTTTCATCACCTTGCTGTTGCCTGAAAAATATTTTACATTTTGTCTAAGATAATTATTAAAATAATACATTTAATTCAAACAGCAAAATAAATTAAACTGAAGCAGTGTTAGACCAACATTTCCACTACTCATGCCATAAGATTTTTCCTGATGGACCTTCCTATAAACAAATAAGGACCTTTTCATAAAAGTTTATTTTATTTCTAGAAAAAATAGAGATACGTGCAACACCAACTAGAGATTTTTACTTCTCATTTAGTTAACTGGAACCAGCATGTATCAATGAAACAAAGATACCTTAAAAACAAGAATACAATTCTACAGCAGGAAAACAAAAAATCTTTTTTTACTACTTGAGGCTACTGAATGAGCAGAAGCCCATTCGAATGCATCATTCCCTAACACAAAGACATGAGATACTTTATGCTATCAACTTCTTCCATATTAGGAAAATTTAGGATTAGTTTAAAATAAGTTCTAGTGAAAATTTTCTGCTAAAAAATGCTTAAGTTCCATGGAATAGTATTGCACCATGGTTTCTCAATATATTAATGGTTCCAATAAGTTATTGAAGTGGCTTCTTTGTCTTTTAATGTATCATTTTATTTTCAAATTTCTGGGTGCAGTGTGTTCATTCTTTGAAAGCTCAAACACTTAAAATGGTACATTGGCACCCATTTGGCAAATTTTTTCTAAAACTCATAAAAAAAAGGTCCATCAACCCCTCTATAAAGGTTACAGCCTTACACAGCCATTTCAATACATAAACCAGATTGACAAGAAAATAAAAGAACTTACAGCCGCTGCAATGTGGCATGATATAGCATGCTGCCAATGGCTAGAATCATATTTGATATGTGAAGGACGCTAAACCTTTTCTCAAAATGTTGTCTCAAAGAATTCATAAGACCAATCAGTGCCAAAATAAAGCAGGGGACATTAGAGATGGTATTAAAAAATTCGGCAATATAGGAAGAATGCACATAATTTGGCTCACACCACTCATGCGTTGATGTGACGGCCCCCCAAAAGCTTGATATTCCATCTTCCATTCTTCAATGTATACACCTGAAATGTAAATTGTTCCATGGAAGAACTTATCAATATGTTGCTGATTTTGGATACTGCAAGCAATGCAGAAGAGCACACATCAATAAGTGCATGTTATTTATATATAAAATTTAAATCTGCTACCATCATCCTACGTCGATTCAAAGAAAGAAATTCGAAAACCATTTGAAGATGCTGACAGAAGGAAATCAAGTATTGAGTGTCCAGTTGCAGAAGGGCTGACTAGGGAGTTCCATTACTTCCATGAAGCTTCAGCTAGAACAGCTAAGTACATTTTGGCTGAGTATGTGGAACTTATATAGTATTATTATATTTCATACCTAAATTTCAAATCTAGAGTATTAATATTTTGGTCGACAATTTTAAAATTTTACATTGTTTCAATCAAGGAAGTTACATAACAATCTGGATTCCAAATAATCAGAGACATGCAAAATAAGCTCATAATAAATCATAAACAATATTCGAATTTCAAAGAACAATTTAAAGTGTCCAAACAAACAAAAGAAAATACTATTAAGTATCAAAAAATACACTATTATTTTAGCTGGAGGGAGTAAATTATTCTCAAAGTGGTCTATGAGAAACACAATTTTTTTTAATGTTTAAGCAAGCAGCGGTATATTATTCCCAAAGTGGGTTCATCAGAAGTTCTAATGTTTTGTGGGCCATACCCAAGGAAAGTAAATAATTATGGAGAATTAAGAAGTGCATGCCTCACGAGTCTTGAGATGGTGTAGTGAGGTATGTGCCTCATTCAACTGAGGTGTACGCCTCCAAACAAAGCCTCACAGTCATTGCTTGATGTGTTTCTTTAACGCCTCACTTTGACGCGAGCCTCAATTGGGATACTTTAAACCATGAGCTAGACACAATGAGACATCAGGCTTCCAGATCGCAGGCAGAAACAAATTGATGCCTTTTGCACATGAGACTGAAAAATATGCATTGATCATGTAGGTCCAAGTCATCAGAAACACAACCCCTTTTTATTTCCTATTATTTACTCATTAAATGAAAATATAACCGTTATCCATCACATTAAACCACCATATTTGAAAATCTATCTCTTGTGTGGGGCCCGTAATGGCTATATTTTTCATTCTCATTCTTATATTAATGTGGCTCAAACAGGGCCATAATCTGGTTAAATTGGATAACTTGGTTATCTATACATATGTGATATATCACAGAAATTAGAAATTTATCTCAATTCTCCACAAAGATAAGTGTGAACACAATGATGTGATGCAGATACAACAAAAAACCATCATTTTGTGTAACAAATTTATATACCAAGTCAGCCAGTACTCATCAAACACGTCAAACAGAAACAAAAAAATCCAATACCAGTAATTTAGGGGCTGTTTGGGCTCGATTTTTTCACTCAAAAAATTGATTTTCTGACCGTTATTTTACTATTCCAACCGTCATATTTGACTTCTTCTCTCATATGTGGACCCCACTTTTCTCCTAACGGTCAAAAAATCAATTATCAAAATCACTCCAAACAGGCTCTTAATCATAAACTGGACATCTTTTCCATGAGTTAATTGTCACCTTCCTGTTTTCAAGGTCATCATTTTTACAACCAATTCTGATTTCTAGACAATCAAAAGTTCATCTTAAACAAAGAGCACATCAATACGTTTTCAATGTGTGACAAATAGCATTCAGTAGCACATGATAAGAAAAGAAAGAAAATTATATGTGTCGACTTCCAAAGGGAAGGGACAGAGTATTTGCTTCTGAACACTCATAAGGAATCATATAGGAAAACAAAAATATTCAGAGCAGATCATTTTTAAGGAAATTATGACATAAGATATCGTAATTATCTCTTCACAGCAATATTATACCATACACAGTCTATACATTGTAATATTGAAGAGCATACGTGTGAACATAATCAAATCCCCCATTTATATCTCCTTTCTCATTACAATAACCAAAAAATCCTATAGAAATTATAAACTATGCATATTTTGAAGCTTTCTTCGAAAAATAGAAACTCTGAGAAGGTGCAAAGGTATTGAACAGTTCTCAAAAACCAAAAATAAAAACCCCAACATAAACATACACTGTAAAATTTAAATTCAAATCTCATTAATTAGAAGAAGGGGAAAAAAAGAATGAGCATCATCCAAAGATTAATCTCAGTATCACATTTAATCCCAACAAACAACCAGTTGCCAAATACGCGCGAACAAACGGACAATTAATTCAGACATCAACAAACATTGATAATAACAATAATACACACACATATGAACAACACGCAGCCTTACCTTCCAAATTCAGATCTGAATTGCGCACCAAATCCACGCAAATAAACCTTTCAATTTCTACACTATAATCTGTACAAATACCTAACGGTATGTGCGAATTTCAAAATTTATACCCATCTTTATCTTTAATCTGGAATAATTATACTCTTTATTGACGAACAGGAAAATTTTGGGTTCGAATTTCAAAAGGGCTTGAAATGCTTAATCGAATCAGATTCCTTATTCCTTACAGCGGGGTTAGAATCTTTATTATTTGATTGCACGTGTGGGATGGATTTCACGTGTGAGAAGAAATATCCGTACATTATAGTATTTTTATTAATTCTCTTCCATGTAGTCGTTACGTACACTGTTATGCACATCATTATATATTAGTGCTTCTTTGGTAAATATTTTGATAATTTATTTTTTGACTGTTAAAAATAAAATGAGTTTTACCTGTGCGAGAAAAATTCAAAAATTAACTACTTGAATAGTAAAATAACGATAAAAATTTTGATTTTAATTGACTTAAAATCTGTACCAAACAAGCACTTACTCTTTTTTTAAATAGTAATTAAAAGATTCGCATCTCTATGCACCCATAGTCATTAAATCAGATCGAATTGGACAATGGGAAAATTACCTAGAAACCTAGGTTTATGGACTAATTTTCAAAAACAAAGAGGTTTTATTTATATTTCACAAATCAGGTGTTAATTAGGTTAATAATATTAAATAATAAAAATTTAATTAAACCTACCACAGTACCATCCTCAATCCACGGTCCACGCACCCCAACAAATATCAATCCCACGCAGTAGTGCAGTACCACCAATTTCATTTCTCACTCGTCTCTCTCTTTTCTCTCTCTCTCTCTCTCTTCTCTTTATCTCTCTACTGCCTAACCCTCTCTGTTGACAATTCAACACCGCCGAAGGTACCACGAGATAATCGACGAGCGTCAAAATCACGACACCTCTCTCTTGACGACGGAATCACTCCGCCGCTGTAGTGATCTTGATCTGAGAGAGCGATGTCGCCCACCACCGCGTTGCTAGCATTGCCATCTGGAGGAATCGCTAGACGAGGGATGAGAGTCTGAATCACGAAGCCACTATAGTGCCGCTGATCTGAGAGAGCGGCGCCGCCCACTACCACTGCACCACTTACCGGTGATTTTTTCACTGCTGCTAGCACCTATGCAATTGTGAGGAGGTAGTGGTGGTGATTTATAGATACAAGTTGTGGTAATGGTGCGTTGGGGTGGTTTTGTTGGATATGGTGGTGATAATTTTTGCTGATGGCAGTGGTGATGGAAATGGCGGTTGGGGCAGTTTTTGTTGAGTCTAGTGGTGATGGTCTTGGTCATGGTGCTTGGCGATGCTGTTAGGTTGGTGTGGTGTAGTGTGCTGAGGTGCGATGCCTGCCGTGGCAATGGTTTTCTTGCTAGTAGTATATGTGGTACGTTTGGTTGCTGATATTGGGAATGGTGGTGTGTGACCAATTCTATCTTTATTATGATTGTATGTAACCAGATTTGTGTTAATTGTGACTGTATGTGACCTGGTTATATATAGTCACAAATTAGACTAACATGGCCACAGAGAGTCACACTAAAGACAAATTTGATCATGAACACATAAGGTCACAATATGTTACGGGTCACAATTCGCTATTAAGGTCACAGTACATTGGTCACAGATCACATACGGTCACAATTAACACAAATCTAGTCAGAGAGAGTCACACTGAAGACAAATTTGATCGTGAACACATAAGGTCACAATACGTTACGGGTCACAATTCGCTGAGGTCACAGTACATTGGTCACAGGTCACATACAGTCACAATTAACACAAATCTAGTCACAGAGAGTCACACTAAAGACAAATTTGATCATGAACACATAAGGTCACAATACGTTACGAGTCACAATTCGCTGAGGTCACAGTACATTGGTTACAGGTTTGAGTTCACATGCCACGATCCTTCATATAAGTCACAAATTAGTATGAACGGGTCACATATCAATATGAACAGGTTACATGTCGTTTTTGTAGAAGTCATGAATCAAAATTATAAGTTACATTTTATGTGATTAGGTCACAAATTTAATAAAAATGGTCACAGATCACACATATACTGAAATTGGTCACATGTCATTTAAAAAAAAAAAAAAGGTACTGCTTTAGTTATTGGAACAGTTGTCGAAAAATTTGTTGGGTCATCGGAACTTGTTAGCAGAATGGTTGTTGGAGCTAGAGCTGTCGTTGGAGGGGGGTGTGGTAGTTGGAGTGTCGCCGAAATTTGGTACCGGAGTCGGAGCAGTTGTCGGAGAAGTCTTCAGAGGTGGGGGTCGTCGGAATTGTGGCCGGAGTCGGAGAAGTTGCCGGAAGTGTCGTCGGAGAAGTAGCCGGAGGTGGGGTGGAGAGAGAGAGAGAGAGAATGTTTTGAATTTAAAATTTGGTGTGTTTAAATTTTGGGTGGTGTGGTGGGGGGGGGGGGGGGGGGGGGGGTGGGGGCGGGGTGGGATAATTAGATTAATTATGCTATATTAATTATTAAATATTTAATAAATTTAATTATCATCTGAATTATGAAATAATTTAACAAGATTGTGAGGTTTGAAATGTGATTCTTAAACTGTGACAGTTGTGTTGTTTTCCCTTGGACAATTCAAAAGAAAAATTGGTAACTAAAACAGTTAAGTATAAACTAGTCCAGTCCTTAATAGATGATCGGAGTATTATTGAATTGATCAAAGGGCAACTTACAAAAATACCTTTAAAATTTTGGGTCTTTTGAAAAATCATATAAAATTTTTTTCGAAAGTAAAAAATACTGTCTAAAATTAAAAAGTGACACAATGTCACTTTTTTTTTTTAAAAATAAAAATTGTCACTTTCTTTAAAAAAAAAAAAATGTGACACAATGTTATTTTTAAAAGTTTAGTGTCACTTTTATATTAAAAAAGTAATACAATCTCACATTTATTAAAAAAGTGATGTTTGTCACTAAAAAAAAGTGGTAGAAATTTCAAGAAGACGACTGAAAAAATTGACAAAAATTTAAAAGAAGTGACAGCTACTAAAAAAAGCGACAGAAATTTAAAATTAAAAAAGCGTTGAATTTAAAAAAGAGACACAATGTCACCTTTAAAAGTTTATTGTCACTTTTATATTAAAAAATAACATACAATCTAACATTTATTAAGAAGTGATATTTGTTACTAAAAAAAATGACGAACACTAAAAAAAGTCAAAAAAGTGACAGATATCTAAAAAAAGGACAAATCTAAAAAATGACACAAATGTTACGAGCACTAAAAAAATGATAAATTTCTCTCCATATCGATCATTTTGAAATACCAAGATCTGCTAGTTGCTCTTTTGATACTTTTCTCAGCACCTCACATTGTTAAGCTCTTCCAACAATACTAACTTAATCCCAATTAAAAAAAAAATAAAAAACACGGAAACAATCCAATTTTTTTTCCCAAAGAATAACAAGAAGTATACACTTTTGCACATATGGTACACAAAATCATAAAACCGAAATAAACAAACTCAAGCAGAAAAACAAAATTCTCGTTTTCCAATATCAGCAACTTGTTCACCTAAAAAAACAAAATTCTCGTTTCCTAAGCAAGTCTAGTACCCAAACCAAGAACAATGTGAAAATTTTCTAAAATTAACTTGACAGTAACTTGAAAAGAATTGGTTCGTCATGTTTCACAGTTTAGTCGAAGTGACCGAAGCCCATATCCTGCAACCATAGAAACAGAAGTCACAATATTAAAATTCTCTTTAGCACATAAATTGATCCAAGAAGACAAAAAGGATGTCACGAAAAAGAATGAAGTGCAATATTTTACATCATCTGACTCTTCTTTCTCTTCAACTTTCTCTTCCTTCTTTGTTTTAGTAGCAGACTAGCAGTTGGGGCAGCGACACCGCCTGCTTTAGTAGGTGCAACTGCAATAGCTGCACTACCGCTACTAGGAATTGAAGCCAACTTCTTTCTTTCGACTGCAATCACCTCAGTGATGTCTTTGTCCTTTAATTGAGACGAGCAACAAATAATTTATGAAATACACATGCTATATAGTTTAATTGAAATGGAAAAATTCAAATTGCATTATATGATCTACGAAATAATGGAATTGCTGCATTTACCCGCTAGAATTTGTGGGTGAAGATGGAGCCATTTGAGAAGACGATCACTTTGGCTGGGTAGAAAGTTAACGAGAGGTGTGGTGAAGCATACGAGGGACTGGAAAGAGGAGGAAGTTATGAAATTTAGGTTGAAGAAAGAAAATTTGAAGGTGATGATATGAGAAATGGAGATGAGGGTGCAATGGTTGAGGTTCTGGTGTGACTGGGGTGAGATTTGTGGATATGGATTATGATATGAAAGGAGACGAAAGTATTAAATACAGTGTAACAATGTTTTAATTTTTTAGGGTATAAATCCAATTTTGTTGTGAAAGGAAAGTTTATTAGAGTTTAGAGGTGAATGACAATTATATTCATACAACCCTAGAAATAATTATTGTTGTATTCCTGATTCTGTTATATAAATACAGGATTTTGATTCTTAATAAAACACACACAAGTCTATTGACTTCTTTTTGTTATGTTCTCTTTTCTTCACTTTATAACACGTTATCAATATGATAATTTAATTTTTTAAAATTTAGTGAATGTAATAATTTTTATAGACATGAATATTTATCACGTGTACCAAAATTAATTTGGTAGCATATGAAATATTTCAATATACATATGCATCATAACGATGTTGCTTCTTCTTCTTCTCTACTTTTTATCAACATATATATTAACTCTATTTCACGTTTGCATGTGTAATCTGAATACATATTAATTCACGTTTTTTTTATTCATACACGATCATTTTTCCTACATATTATTCAGTATTAATTCTGTCTTTTGAATCTGTTACATATTAGTTCTATCTTTAATTTCTATATATGTGAAATTCACATGCATGTTTAGTATTTTTTGCATGTTGGTAAAAGATTTAACAAATAAGTGATTTAGCCAATTTTGTTAACTTCTATCTATGGAGATTCTTTTTCCTAATACATATTTGGTAATCAACTTTAAAATATAAATTCATATATTATCTATTTGATAATTAATTTTTACATCATATCCTGTTTGTATGGTAATTAAATATTATTTTCACATGCATGCTTAGAATTTTTTTTTATTTACTTATACATTTTTTGTG